ATAGCTCCAGAGACGTGACATATGAAAGGAAGACACAGAGATATAGGAAAAATGACTACTTTGACAACAAATTTTTTTTCTATGTTTGGATTCAATGACACTTTTATTACGCACACGTGAGGACGACAATGAAACTTTTTTAAAATGAGGAATGAATTTGACACAATTCAAACCAACGGGGACAAAGACTCAATTAAACCTATTTAAAATTCCTACACCCACTCTTTTTCTTCAACGGCTTGTCAACATCCGTTTTGAAAAAAATCTTCCCCGACTTGCACGGATGTTGCGACATTCGTTGCCTTTTTTGTTTTTAGTTTTTAGTTTTTTTATTTTTTTGTTTTAAAAATTAATATATAAATATTATTTAATTATTTTAAATTAATTACTTAATTATTATAAATTAATTTTATTTTTATTAATAAAATAATTTTTCCTTAATTTATGTATTATTATTTAAATAATAATTAAAAAATTTATTATACATATATTAAAACGGATGTGGCGACATCCGTTGCTTTTTTTGTTTTTTAGTTTAGTTTTTTTATTTTTTTTTTAAATTAATATATAAATATAATTTAATTATTTTAAAATTATTACTTAATTATTTATAAATTAATTTTATTTTATTTAATAAAATAATTATTATTAATTTTAATTTATGTATTATTATTTAAATAATAATTAAATTTTTTTTATAAATATATTAAAACGGATGTGGCGACATCCGTTGCCTTTTTTTGTATTTTAGTTTTTAGTTTTTTAATTTTTTATATTTTAAATTAATATATAAATATTATTTAACTTTTTAAAAATTATTATTTAATTATTTATAAATTAATTTTATTTTATTTAATAAAATTATTATTATTATTTTAATTTATATATTATTATTTAAATAATAAATAAAAAACTTTTTAAAAATCTATTAAACGGATGTGGCCACATCCGTTGAAGTTTTTTTTTTTTAAATAAAAATAATAAACTAAAATATAAAATATGTAAATGGATGTTACAGATGTCAACATCCGTTGAAGGTGAAACGGATGTTGACATCCGTTTTATAGAAGGGCAAATAAGGTATGGGAAGGTGCAGGGAACGGTTGGTGGTGGTGGAGGGATCAACTCTCAGTTTTAAAACTATGAAACTAAAAATCATCAAGTTTCGAATATGGATCAAATCTAAAATAGTGTGATAATTAAGAAACGAAAAATATATTTAATCCTTATTGTTATCATTGATGTATATTATTATATATCTTATTTTTATTTGTCTATTTTGTAGTGACGTGAGAATGTAGGATTGGAGCAATGGGTCACATCGGCTCCTTTCCCTTGAATTGGTCACTTGAAAAAAAATTATCAAGTTGGTTTAATTCATTTTTTAAATCGATTACACTTTTGCAATATGATCCAATCCCACGTCAAGTTTACAATTCCTTTTGACCAATTTAAAAAAAACACAAATTAAAATAAAAATGAGAAAAATATGTTTTTAATATTTAAGACGTTTAATGAATTTAATTTTAGTTTTAAGTATAATAATATAACAAGTCAATAAATATAAATTATAACATGTGAATGTAATTTTAAGAAATTAACAACTTTATTACAAAAATATATATCATAATTAATAAAAATTGAAGGTTGTTACAAATTATCATCACAAACAATATTTTTACTGACAAGAATTTGGACACCAGCCATTTTAGATATTGTATTTTAATTTTATAATTGAAATATATTCTGAAAAAATAAAAAATAGGTTTTGAACAAAAATATGAAATTATAAAAATAAAGAAAAAGATTGATAATAATCAAAATCTAATCTTTTTCAAATTTTAAAAATAATTTAAATTTTAGGGGAGAATTTCAGTTTTCTAAATGTATCCCAAATCAATACAAAATACTCTTAAATATAAAAATTTTATTTGTAATTTTTAATTTGTTATTATTTTTTATTTATATTTTATATTAGTTTATATATTTTCTATTATAAATAAAGCATCGTAGATTTTACACTACTCAAATATAGATTTTTCTATATTCAACAAATACAGTAGTTAAATATTCTAAAATTTTAAGATATGTATATTAATATATATATATATATATATATATATATATATATATATATATAATGAATTATGATAAAATGATTAATTTTTTAAATTGTTTAATCAAACAGATTCAATATATATAAATTATCTGTACAATCTCTTTTTATATGAATTTTTAAAAAGTTTAATTTCTTCAAAAGAACTTAGAGACCGAAAATAATTTTCAAATTCAAATTAAATCTCAAACAAAAAACTTGGTTAACACAACAGCCTCAAATAAAACAAAATAAATTAATATATTTAAACATATAATTCATTACATATTTAATATAAAAAAATAACATATTAAAAAAATATAGGCTCATATTAAATATAAATTTTTAAGCTAATAAAAGGAACTTGAGAGCACAAAATGCAAGCTGTTGGAAAAGCTGCACAATTCTACCACAATGTAAGAGTAGCTAGACACATAAGAAAACACAAACTTTAAGAACAATCAACCTCAGAGGAAAACACAAATTCAACAAAAAAAAAACACCAAAAACAAAAAATCAAATAAGAAAAAAAAGAAAAATCACTCATTAATGTTCAACGTTGGAGAGTGGAAGTTCTGAAAAAATAGAGTTAAACTATGGTGAGAACAAACATGAAGAACATGTTGAACGTGAGATTCACAAAAAGTGAAAAAAAAAATAAAACAAGAAAAGAACAACAATAATGAAGGAATAACTTTTGCAACGGAGGAAGAGGAGAAAACAAGAATTGCTCCAATGGAACAATAAAACAGAGACTTTACGTCTTTATAAAATTTTGTCAAAATTAACCATAAGCATAGGGTTTCACTTCTTTATAAAATTGGAGGTTATAAACTAATATGTTTAGATTTTACAAATAATCGAAAATTACAACTTGATACTAAAATATTTTAAATTTAGTGACATTTTTTTATTAGAAATCTTTAGACATGATTCTTAGATAATTAAGTTTATTCCTCTGTAGATTTCCATTTTTAAAAGGATTAAAGCTTAAACGTTATTAATAATTTTAAAAATGTCACAAACCTATCTTATATTTTAACACAGATATGAGTCACTTGATATTTTTTTTCAACAAATAAACAATTAATATTATATACTAGAGATCATCAAGGTAGTGATTTTAAATAATAGAAGAATAAAAAACAGGACATTTGATTGGAACAACATCAAAGTTCATTCATTCTAAGGGGACTAAAAATACATTAAATTTCTTTAGTTATAGAAATAGAATTCTAAAATATTTTAAAAGAAAAAAAATATAAAAATGTATCCTTTGAGAAAAAGAAAATAGATTTTTATGTTGTATTTCTTTTGTTACAAAATTTCATAATTAAGAAAAAAATTTCTTCACATGGAAAATTAGTTTATTGTTTCTCTTCCTAAATAAGCTTCTTTGTCTATGTTCACAAAAATAAAAACTTATAATAATAAAGTGTAGCGAGCATCACATATTTTTATAGACAAGTCCAAGTAGTATACATCTCTTTCATTTTATAAATAGCATTTCAAGAATTTTATAAAATTATTTTAAGCATTGACTACATTAAAATAAAAAAAATTATAGATTTAAAATATAAGTTTCGGACACTGACGAGGGCGGGAGTGATCGTCTGTGCAAGAAGCACGAAGTGCAAGGGACACTGACAAGGAGCAACTCCTGACAGGCTTCCAGTGGAAGGGACACATGAATGAATCGAACATACACCGGAATGAGAGGGATATAGAGACTGTATAGGTATGGGACTATACAGTTGAAGGATAGCTTAAAGGGATTGATTTGGCTACTCATATCACCAAAATGCATTTGTTTTTCGGTACCCTAACCCATAAGAACTCCATGGTTAATCTTCTTCCAAGTGCAGAAAAACCCCAAGGAGTTGCGGGTTTTTTTCTACCAATTGAGGCCCTCCCTTCACCACCCCCATGCGGATGGTCTACAGGGTTCATAACTACTCCTCTTACTATAGGACGTTTACCTAGCCAACATTTAGATCCGACTCTACCTAAATTTTTCTGGTTTACCCCAACATTTCCCACTTGTCCAACTGTTGACGAGAAGTTTTTGGATATCAAAAGGACCTCCCCAGAAGGTAATTTTAATGTGGCCGATTTACCCTCTTTTACAATTAGTTTCGCTACAACACCAGCTGCTCTAGCTAATTGTCCACCCTTTCCGAGTGTGACTTTTATGTTATGTATGGTCGTGCCTAAGGACATATCGGTTGAAGTAGATTTTTCTTTTTATCAATCAAAACATCTTCCCAAACTGTACAAGCTTCTTACAAAGCATACGGCTTTCTGGATGTAGACGATGATATTACAAGTTCAATAGCTATTTTTATTATTTAAGTATATAAATTAAATATTTCATGATTTGATTCTCAAAATATTTTAATCTAATTTAATAGGCACACTCATTTATCTATATCAATTCTGAAATCCATACGAACAGGGTAATTCTTACTCTAAGAGAAATGAATTCGTGTACATTCCGACACAAAGGAACTTGTGTGAATCTTTATGCTAATAGCCATCATCCCCACAAAATGATTACAGTATAATATACACATATAATTAATTATGATTTAACATAAGCAATCATATACTGTGTCTTTTTAACGTAATCCATTATTCATTCCCAATGAAAGAAATTGACCAATCATTCCTCTATATGTCAATTTGACATTTTCATCTTTTCTCACCAATTGAACAAAGAAATTTTCTTCAAATCTTTCATTCAAAATCAATTCAATTCAAATCCGAAACTTCCATTCTAATCCATTCCAATTAAGAGTACATCATATCCAAACAAAGACTAGATTTTATTTTTCTAAACATTGGATTTACTTAGTGCCACAAGAAATCTCACAACAAATATCAATAAAAAGATAATGAATCTTGGGAAGAAGAACATGCAAACAAGAGCTGATAACGGCTAGATAATGTAGAACATCCAATATATATCATAGGACTTGATCAAGCGGTGAGATCATTTCCTAAGCTTCTCCTTCATCCTCTCAACCGCGACCCTAAGAGTTTCATCATCCTTGCAGAAAACAAATCTGACTAGGTTCTTTCCCTCTTCGGGATTCAAGCAAAACACACTGCAAGGAATTGCCAGCACCCCCACCTCCTTAAGCAGATATTCACAAAATGCAACATCATTTTCCAATCCAAAAGGGGTATGATCTGCCAAAACAAAGAATGTTCCATCGGGTGGGAATACCTTAAAGCCAACGGCCTTTAATCCTTCAACCAAAATATCCCTCTTTGCCCTATAATCCCTCTTCAGCTCCACATAATAAGACTCTGGTGCCCTGAGAGCTACTGCAGCTGCACACTGCAAAGGAGTGGCGTTTGAGAAAGTGATGAAAGAATGCGCCAGTCGCAGCCCCCATGTCAGGTGTGAGGGTGCTATGGCCCAACCAATCTTCCATCCTGTTAAGCTAAATGTCTTTGCCAATGAGTTCATTGTCACGGTCCTTTCAAACATTCCAGGCAAAGAAGCTATAGAAATGTGCTCCACATCAAATGCCAACTTATGATAAACTTCATCAGCAAAAACTAGAACATCGTTCTCAATGCAAAGGGATGCAATGGCATTGAGCTCCCCCAGAGAGAACATCTTTCCGGTAGGGTTGTGAGGAGTATTTATAACAATGGCACGTGTACTCCTTGACACAATGGACTTCAGTTTTTGAATGGGGATAGCAAAATTTGGAGCTTGCAGAGGGATGCTTACTATTTTTGCACCAGCCATGGCTAAATTACCTTCATAAGAATCATATAAAGGAGAAAAGAGAATAACCTCATCGCCGGGATTTATTAATCCTAGCACAGTTGCTGCAAATGCTTCCAAGCACCCATTTGTGACAGTAACTTCATTATCAGGGTCTATCGGTAATCCAGTATCTTTCCTAAATCTATCAGCAATAGCAATGTTCAACTCTGGAACTCCAGAACCTCGTGCATACTGATTTTTCCCATCCCTTATTGCTTGAATTGCTGCTTCCTTTATAAACTCTGGACCATCAAAGTTCGGAAAGCCTCGTCCAAGGTTTATGATTCCATCTTTCAGGTTGTTAATTGTTTCCCTGGATTTTTGGAACTTCTCTAAGCGCTTTGCAACCTGACAAGCAAAGAAAAAACCAAGATAAGCCCAAAATGGTTGACTATTAATGTGAATGAACCGTGTAGGATGATTTGACATAAGAGCGTTAAAGACTAATGAATTTTCCAATTACTAGTAACACGAAGAAAAATATAGCTTTATTCAAAAGTTAGATCAAATTACATATATCAGTTTCTGGAAGGAGCAAGATAAAAAAATGTGCATCATTTTATTATTCTTATACTTCTTATCCAAAACTGAACCTAAATAACTAATGACAGCTTAAAAACTTTCACCCAGTTAAATAATTTACATTTTGTTATTGGATTCGGGGAGAGTGATAGAATGAATTTAAAAAAATTTGAAGATAAATTTTTTTGTTATTTATTTGAGTACATTTGGAGTCTAAGTGTTCTAAATTTTTTAATCTATCAGATGAATCAAATCCTGCAATCAATCCTTCAAAATCTATTCACTTACTTCTAAATTCATCCAAATAAACAATAAAAAATTCACTTTTAAATCTTCTCAAATTCATTCTTTCAATAGCATTGTTAATCCATTCAACTAAAGACAGACTTCTTGACGAGAAGCTGATTAACTGCAGGTGAATCCACGCCTTCCAGTGGCAAATAGAAAAGGATCAGTTTCACATTGCACAGGCCAATCAATACGAAATCATTTGCGAAAGGATTGATAAATAGATCAACGAAGAGAAATGTTAGATACGGAGATAATCAAACTCCCGAGTTAACACGGAACTCATACGAGTCTACGAGTTTTAGTTTCTGTTTACGAGTTGACTGGTTTTTTAGCAGACTCGCGAAATGGGCACAAAAACTACACTAAATTGTCGTTGTAGTAGTCTCTGTTTTGAAAACCCAACTCAACCCCAAAAACCTAAATGAGAAACCCAAATTAAAACTCCAAAAACCCAAATTGCAGACGCGTGCCTCCATTTTCGCGTTTCTTCTACGTCTACCACCTCTTCTTGTATCTTCTCCGTCGTTGCGTTCTCGCCTGCCAAGCCTCGCCTTGCTCCGCCGTTCTACACCGGGTCTTCCTTCTATTCTTCTTACGTTTTCAAGTACGGTTTGAACTAGACTGCGTTAATTTGATTTGGAGTGCGGTGTGGCTGCTTGTTATTTGGGATTTAACTTTATCTTGAGAGTGGGGCTTCAATTTCAGTTTAAGGTATTATGATGTGACCCCATTGCTGTCTCTTTTCTTTTGGTTAATTCCGGATATAGTTATTTTTGGTGAACTCTCACATCTATACATATAAAGCGAATTTAAATTATAGAGAGTTTCAAATTTGGAGAGGTTGAGTTAATTTTAAAGTTTATTACTTAGAATCATGAATTCGGATATATCTTGTCTAATTGTGTTATTAAACATTTTCAAATGTAATGTCCATGAACAATTATCATAAACGTTTGTGTTGTTGGACATTTTCGACGGCATTGTTGATGAACATTTATCATCTCAGACGAATTTATGAAGAAGATGAGGAAGATCGTGGAGATTATTTTATTAGAAGATTTGATGAAAGAGACTTATAAATTTGATAACGTTTGTGGTTTTTTAGTTAGTTATTTTCTTATCACTTTAAAAACTAATATTTTAATAATGAATTATATGAAATCATTTATTTTAATATTGTGAAATTAGTAACACCAATATTTGTTTTTTCTGGTTGAATTTTCACATATGAAATAAATTCAGATATTATGTACTCTGTAACAGTGCACACAAGAGTTAGAACCTCTAAATATTATTTTATAAATATTACTTTTTAGAATAATTAGTTGTTACTTCCGTTGTAGCATAGTCATGTCATTTATATTTGCTTACTTAATGAAAAAACCTTATATTTATTTTGATCTTGTTTGTCTTAATGTGGAAACAATAACATTTTTATTATAACAATCGATTTTTTTTATCATATATTGATTTGTACTATCAATACAAATAACATAAATGACTTAGTATATATCATCCTGTAATACATTATATTTATGTGAAATATGTTTCTACTTAAATTAAAATATTTTAATTCATTTACATAATCTGAAAAAAAAATATTATTATGTACTTAAAGTAAAAATTATCATGTCCAAAGCTTTTTAAGCCTTACAGTAACTTATATATTTTTTTATCATGCAATTGATTTAATGAATATCACTCCTTAATATTCTAGGTGTCATAAAAGACCTAATTCAAAAATTTTAATTTATTAGATGCTTAATTTTAAAAAAAATAGTTGCTTAAAATAAAATTTAGAGAGCTAAATTTATTTAAACCTGATTTTTTATCCGTATGAATATCATATACAACAAAATGATTGATCAGGTTAAATATACGCAATCTTCACTCTAAAACTACATTTTAAAACTGAACAAACTTATTCCATCTAATATTCATATGACCAAAATTTCTGGTGATAATATATTTTCGGATCCAACAATTGTAAGAAAAAGGAAAATAAATAATTCAGACTAAAGAAGAGCAATATTAGAAGCAGATAAAAATCTTCAAAATATTTAAAGAAACTGAATAAAGGGCAAGCAAGAGTTTTTTCCATTTTTTTTCTTATAGTAAGAATTGCTTTTCAATTGTTCACCATAGTTTCAAATTGATTAATATGAAGAAGAAAAAACAGAGAATCATTATAGAAAAAAAAATTGATTTTAGATGTTACTACATTTTAATAGATCTATTTAGTGTACACGAAATTTAGATAAAATTGTATATTGTAGTTTCTGTCTGAAAAATAATATAAAAAAATTTACCTTTTTACAAGAAAAAAATGTGATGAGATATATTTCCGGACTACATTAAATTTAATGTTTATTTATTTAAATGTTAGGTTCTTATTTGACTATCCGTAACTTATTTAAAAAAAAGACTTAATAAAGTTGACAATTTTTGAAACTTTCAATTATTTTTTTTTATTAAAGTTGAGTAGTTATATTACTCATCAAAATTTTTAAATTTTGAAATTTTTTAACCGAATCCGTACAATTATTGTTTTTTAATATTTGACGCGATAGTTATTTTATTTTATCACTAAATTTAAATGTCGTAATATGATATTTTTCTACAAAAGACGATTTACAATATTTAATGTAATTATTTTAAAGTTAATTAAAATTATAAAATATCAAATTATAAAATCAAAATTATAAAATATCAATTATAAATTTGAAATAATAAAATTATAAAATATAAATTTGCAAAATTAAAAAATATATAAAATTATAAAATATAAATTAAAAAATTGAAAAAATATAAAAATATAAAATATTATATTTTTATATTTTACAATTTTATATTTTTAAAATTATTAATTTGATACGTTATAATTTTAATTAACTTAAAAAAATCATTAAAACTATAGAGGACTCTCGTGGTCTCTTGTAAAAAAATATTATAAATTTTAAAATTTAAAGAAGTCAATAGACCACAAAAATTTAATAAAACACTTAATTGAAAGTTTCTAAACTTGTCAAGGACTCAACTTAATTAAGCCAATATAAAATATATAACTTTGAAAATATCTAGAGATTATTTACTAAACATCTTAAAAAAAAACAGGAGATGAAGAAATTATACATAGTAAAAATAAAATAATTGTTTGTTTATCTCTATATTTTAATAATATATCGTTTAAATTCCACACGAAATTTAAAACAAAATTTTATGTATACTACATTATTTTTGTGTGAAATTTTGAAAAAGTGAAGTTGTGTGGTAAGAGAGTGACTTCAATAAAAAGATGATGTATAGAACTAATGAGAAATTATAATGAGTTTAATTTGTTTAGAAATCATAAGCAAGTATGATAACTTCAGTTAATGACTTTTCAACAAAATGAAATTATCATAACTCTTCACAACTTCTATAGAGATTGAGATATCATAATTTCTGAGGGTTGATATACATATTAAGTTTTGAAAGATCAAATTAAAAATTATCACAGACGGTTTCATTAAAAAAATCCACAAAATCTTATTCTTGCCACACAATTTTACTTTTTCAAAATTTTATAGTAAATGGTGTGGTGTGCATATGATTTTGTGTTAGAAAGTGTTGTAAACAAATTTATTTTATTTATGTAAAAAAAAGAACAAAATATATTTGAATATGTTACCTGTGTTTGTTGTATAAGTGGTGGATATTATTTAAGACCATTTATGTAAAAAATTAATCATGAGAAACAAAGTAAAAGAAATGTTTTGAACACCGGAAATGATGAACAGCAAATTAACATTAAGAAAATGATAACAATGCAGAACCTAACAGAAAACAGTTATAAATGATGAATAGCAAATTAACATTGAGAAAAGATGCCCAAGAACTAACAGAAAATAGTTATAAAAGTAGTTGGAAAGACCTGGAAATTCTGAATGGAAGCAGTGTCCACGGTAGAAGACATGAAGCAGCGAATATGAAGAGAGACTTGAGAGTAGAAGGTAATGATGTGGAAGTCATCCTTCTCAAAACCTTTATATAACTTGGAGGAGACGTGAATCTCATGACCCATGTATATCCATTCTTCTTTCTTTTTTTTTTTTCTGACTTTAGGAATACATGTTATTCGCATCCCATTCTTTAAATAAATCTGTTTTTCTTTAATCAACTCATGCAAAATCACATGGTCATTTTACAACCTTTGTGATTCACGTACCACGTGCTTTCATGGAACAACAAAGGAATCCTGCCTACGTGAACGACAATGTTTTCTTCTCATACAATTTGTTGTCTTTCAACTTCCATTGCAAACTATTCATTATCTTATATAAAGAAATGGTACTTTAAGGTATACAAATTTTTTCCATTCATTTAACATTTTTTTTTATGTTTTATATATTTTTTTTAAAAATACAAAAATTTATATGTTTATAATTATTTTATCTTTATGATATATATTAAATAAATATAAATATGTGTCACTTAGCATTATTTTTCTGTATTTATATCTCATTAATAATATATTACTAGTAAAAAAATAGTATTTAAATTCGCACAATAGGTCTCGGTTTAGGAGAAACCGAAACCTATCAGAATGCGGTGATATTTTTGTAGTTTAGTCGAAC